ATGAACTGTGAATGATGATCTCCTTGTCTTGTAGCCGCGCAAATTGGCCACTTTTCGACATCATGTCACTTTCAGTGAGAGAAGGTGAGAGGGTATTGATAGGAGATGAAATACGATATTGATTGCATCGTTTTGAACTTCGAGTTTTGCGTTAAGCTTTCACAGGCCTACGATTGAGTACAGTACCCCCACAGGTTCTGCGCGTCGAATAGCAATTTGCCAGAAACATTCTCTATCGATATCAAGGGGGTGTTAGTTCGAGCTAAGATGCATCGAACTGTGAGAGCGAGCCCCTGTTCAAAGTGCGATGGAGGCCTTGGGAGTCTGTTACGAGATGATTGTTTTCTTCCGTCACGAAAATGCACCTGGCACTTGGACGTAGCAAGCATCATCGTTTTCGCAGCAGCTGAAAGAGTACACAGTGCTAGAGTTGCGGAAAAGCCTTCATTCGTCAAATCTTGACCGACATATGCAGTCATGGTGGGGGTTATTTGGCACCTTCAGCAGCGTCGTAGAGCCTTGCTCACGAAGCTCGGTGCCTGGATCGAGGACCTGCTGCGGCAGCTGCCATGTATTGATGGTGGAGGTATAGATCAGATCTGGCGGCAATGCATACGTGCCAAACCCAGTTTTGAGGGCGCGTAAGAAACAGAATAATAATTATTTGTCTTCCTGGCGTGCTTTACTGCAAGCTTTTTGTGGTCAGTTCTTGGCTTTTGGATGCAGCACCGCATTGGAGAAGATTGGTCTGCTTATTCTCTGGTTCCATAGTATTTTGCTTTGGTAGCTCCTTCATTGATATTGGTTACGTACACCATATTGAATTACCTGTCAATCTGTGTACAGGAGCACGAACGAACAACCTATGTCCCGGCTGATTGGCTAGCGTCCCAACTCCTACATGGGCCGATACATGGCGGCCAATGACATACGGCGAGAACAGTATCAGCTGGGTCACGTAGTCCATTTTCCCGGGGGCGAATGATGCCACGATTGTCGTCCCAAGATCTCGAAAGCATCTCTCCACGGTCCACCGTAATCGTTTCGATGATGAAGTACCCAATATCAAAGTTACCGAATCGGCTCGAGGTACAAGCCAAGACACGCACCTTTATTTCGTAGATAGGCTAAAGCCGCAAAGGCGGGGTATGGGACCAGAGTGGCAGTTCTCTCACAGCCATGCGCATGTTGGGGGCCTCGCATTTCAGCTTCTCATCAGGTTGATTTGGCGGACGACGAACGGGTCATCATGTGGCCCCCCTTGGCCCGGCGATTGGCCGAGAAGGCACCACCATTCTGCCTAGAAGGGCCCTCGGTGTCATTTACAGGCATTCACGTTCGGCAATATGCAAACTGATATTCCTAGATTCTATCTCTAGCTCTTACCTAAAAAGGTTATTTGTGCCGTATTTGGTTAACTAACGTTAGTCTATGACTCAGATTCGCACTGTGCTTGTTAGCTGGGTTAGCTGTATCCTGACCCACATAAATACTGACGTTGCCACCAGCAACCGTAGGAGAACGAGCATGCATCAAGGACAAACACTCTGCATTAAAACAACCTGCAATCATGAGCCTTTGAACTTGGATGCCCATTTTCAATATCCATCTCAGCCATGCACGGCAACCTCGACGGACGAAATTGCTAACAAAGAAGGACCCCACCCCGCCATCTGAGATGGACAGCTTCGTCGTCGAGGCTTGGATCAACGACGTCACCATGGCTAATGCACAACCCGACACGCCGAGTCCCTCGAAACGCGCACGAAGGAGCCACCATGCCGACGACGAAATCGCCTTCTTTGACCTCGATAAGACGCCTGTGCGCCCACCACAGATGAGCGCTGCGGCGGGGAGCTCCACGAGGTCGGCGTCTTCATTCCCGAGCGCGCTTGCCAGCAGGCCAGCCTTTTCTGCGCAGCCCTCAGGCGAGACGTCGCACTCGGATGCGGCTCCACGCTCCCGAAGCACCTCACCCACCAAGCGCTTCCAGAAGACAGAGAGCTTGCTCGGCCTCGCGGTACCCATCCAGTTTATCAAGAAGCAGACGCTTGTGGCCGCTGTGCCCGATGACGTCCGACCACTTCTCGAGGCGCTGTCCGCTGTCGAGGCTGGAGAGGCGCTGCTGCCGGCGGCCCTGCGGTCGCACCCCGACTTTCAAAACGACCCGCGGATCCGGCGACACACATGGTCCGACGAGACACAACCGGCGAGCGCCGCCGCCGCCGAATACGCCGCGGCGCTGCACAACCACGAGCAGCTTCGCCGCATCGTCGGCAAGTCGATTGCCTCGGCCAACAAGCACCGGTCCGAAGCCGGCTGGAACAATCTCGTCCACACGCCCCTCCTCGAGCACGCCACTCTGCACATGCCTCACCTCGAGGTCGAGCCCATCACCTCGGCGCAAATCATGCCCGCCTTCCGCCCGCTGCTGATCTCGGGCGAGCAGGTTCCGCTACCGTCATCGGAAACTAGCGCCGCTGGCAGCAGCGTATCGGGGCGCAGCGGACTTGCCACGTCAATACGCCGTGGCGCCGCCATGACGACATCGGTCCATAAGATGGTCGATTACGCGCTGGTACTCCGCCCCTCGGACGCCCTACAGGCGCTGATTGACCGCTTCCTCGAGGGCGAGCCTTGGGAGAAGCAGTCGATCAACCAGACGCGCTACGAGCCGCTGCGCGCGCAGCCTGCGCCCGTCTTCATCGAAACTAAAACCACGTCAGGCACACAGGACAGCGCCAATGTGCAGCTGGGTATCTGGGTCGCGGCCTGGCACAAGCGCATACGCACCGTGGCGTCGCAGGCCGGAACCGAGGAGAGGCTGTTGACGCTGCCGGTGGTTCAGGTTATCGGCGGCGTGTGGTCGGTGCTCTATGTAGTGGACGACGGCACGCATATAGTAAGTTTTTCTTTCCCTTCGCTCCGCTCGAGCGTAGCCGTAAATGTGCAATCACGCTTCGCTTCTCGCTACACCCGGCTTGCCATGTGCGGATTGTGCAGACTGACTAATCTACTCTTAGCGCGTGCTTGATGATGACTGCCGCATCGGCAACACGAACAACATTTTGGGCATTTACCAGCTGCAGGCATCTATCGCGGCGCTGGGTCGCTGGGTCGAAGATACGTTCACTCCGTGGGTCACGGATCTGCTGACACGCGCCGTGGAGAACCGCGCGTGAGTTACCGGTTGCTGTAAAGTTGGGCAGGTTGGGCAGGTTGGGCAGCTTGACCAATAGCTTAACATCCAGTAGGTTAGCCCGCTCGCCCTTGTTATAATAATACCCCTTAGCATGCGTGTACTTCGGGCTCGCCTTTGGAACGCCAAAGTTGGGCTCACTATATTTCTCGAGATTTAATGCTGTTTTGTTCGGTCCACACGTACGCTTCCAGTCTTGTTTAGTTGCAGATAACAGACTCGCCACGATTAGATGGACTAAGCTGCCAGTCGTGTCCTCGGACGATGATGCTAGAGTAAAAATCAATTCACGAGTTGCCATCATTCTGCCGCAACAAGTTCCGCTATTGGGCACATTGCCATCAAGCGTGGAGAAAGGCCTTTGTGCTATGTTCGCCTGGGCGCTTTGCATCCATAATGGAATAAGCCAGGTGCTTCCTCGTCGCGCCAGAATTATGCGGCCAATGAGTGATTCGGCAACAGTGAGTCTCGCCGCACTGGTGGATAATGAGACGACGCACTTGAGACAAACCAAAAGTTTATTACGCCCGGTGACTACGCAGCCAATAGGGCTCACTAGCTAAGCTACTTTATATGTCCAAAATGACGTCTCTGCCTCCTGCGGAGCAGCTATTGGTCAGGAGCGACTGTGTTGATTGAGGAAAAAGCTACCCTCTGGTGTGCCCGACTCCCACGGATCCCTGAGGGATGCCTCCTGCGCAAGGCTGAAAACATGTACTAACTAACCCCTCTTGCGGGCCTCTGGCCACACAACTGTCTTTTGCCGTCGCCCCCCGCCTGACACCACACCTGAGGTGGCAGCGCTAGTTCCCCTTTTCCTTCTCTTTGCCCTTAGAGGACTTTGATGACTTCTCTCTGTGGGTTGAAGAAGCCTTGTCCTTGCCCTTAGAAGACTTCTCATCCTTCGATTTCTTGTCCTTATGGGCTGAAGCTTTCTCCTTGCCCTTGGAAGATTCCTCATCTTTGGATGGCTTATCTTTGTGTGCTGACGACTTGGAGGATGATTCGCCTGCTTTATTCCGGCGCAACTCGCAGGTTCCGTTATCCAAATAACGAAAATAGTTCTGATGTTCCTCACTCCAAGTCCACCCTTCTTTGAAGGTCAAGAGCATAGTCGACTACTGGAGTCACTGTGGCTGCAAAAAACTGCCGGGCCGTCCTTCCTGGGTAACAGTTTAGCTTCAGATTGGATACTAGCATAGGCTTATAGTTGCCCTCTTAAAATTCTCCACCAAAGCGTAATAAACTAAAATGAATAAATAACATGCGAGTTACTAATATGAAATATCAAGGCTCTTTTGCTCGTGGGTCTTAAGGCTGAATAATTGTTCATCTGGTTTTTTCATAGATGCTCAGGATGAGACACCGAGGCAATACAAAAAATGCAATCAAAACATCGCTGGAAAACTCACGCCTTTGTTTTTCATTTTTGACAGGCTGTCAAATTCTGTTTGGAGTTCCTTCCGGTGCTTGTCGAGACATTCCTGCACCAGGGGCGCCAGATCTGGAAAATCTGTGCTGATCGTGACTGCAATCTTTTCCAGTGATGTATGTCTGTTTTCCAAATGCAACAAGGTTGTGTTTCTGTAGAGAGGGCATTTTCCTTCTTCACCGCTGGTGGTGAAATGGCCGTATGCGTTATCATCCGTCGCACCTCCAAGACTTTGGTGGCAAATATAGCTGCGAAATCATGTCAGGAATTTCTATTCCTTCTTTTCAAGAGAAAGATTCCATACCATTGTTTCTTTTTGCACTTGCCGCAAACAATTTTGTTGCAGGCTTCCCCGAGAATGAATTCGATATTACATTCGCTTTACTAAAGTTAGCCATGAACAACGAATTGATGAAACGAGCCACTTACTTGCACTTGCGTATGACAGCCATCGAGAGACCTTCGCAAAACAAGTCAAAGACTTTTTCTTTGGATTCTGAAAGAGACATGACTGTAGTCTCCTTGCATTCATGTCCAGGCTGCGCTTGACGTGAGCAGCGTCTGCAAGTCGCTGAGCCGCAGTCGGGGTTTCGACAGAAGAATATAGGTTCTTCTTCAAAATCAGGGTACTGCTCTGGCCAGTCGCATAAAGGACATCTGGCATCATCTTCGGTCACCAGCTCGACAGCGCGTCGACTTTCGTCGCGGGAAATTTGTTCGAAAAGTAACCTCATACGAGGGTCCTCAAATTGCGACTCCAGAAACTGGAACTGGCTAGCAAGAAAAGGAGCAGAACATTCTTCCCAGCTTATCTGGCATCGAATCGTGGTTTCGCCGCTGTCGAATGTACTCTGAGCCAGGTTTTGTAGACACTCCAAGCAGTAGAAGTGTTCTTTCGACCCCCGACAACGTTGCCCCTCCACTCCCGGACTGTTATCGGAGCAGATTTCACTGGATCCATCAGTAAAAGTTATAAGAAATCATGTAATCGCGATCACTTACCATGATGGGTGCTTGGAGCTGGTTCTGCACCGTCCAACCCGGCCATCAACCTTGTTAACATGTGTGCTTTTTGACAGGCATGTTTTCGCCGCCAGCTGGCACTCTTCGTTTGCAGATTTTCGTGCTTTTGGTTTGAAACACTGAACTCTGTAGTTTTCCGAGAATGTGCGGTAAGTAGGCGCCATTCTCTCGTCTGGTTCTTCCATTTTGCCAAGCTGTCTCGTACTGGCGTCCTGTTGGCGAATCGTACGGTTTGTCCTGTTTGTTTCGACCGTGGCTGGGTTCATCTCACGTACCGCCTTTCTTTCTTTTAAGTCCTCATATTCCGCTTTGCAGATTGCCAGGAGTTGTCTTCCCGGCTTCAATAACTTCTCTTCGTCCTTGCCGCTCATCCATTCCGCCGCGATGGTCTTCAAATCATCCATACCCCAAACGCGACGAGACGCTACTTCAGTAAGGTGTGATAAATTGAAGTCGCTGTCGTCGTAAGAGATGAAAACTTTTGCCTTTTTCGTCTGCTCATGAACCCTTTGGGCTATCAACATCTCTGGTGTGGTGCGCGCTTTAGGATTGTACTCGAAAAGGCCTACACCAAGGCAATGAAGAGCCCATGCCAGTTGCATATATGAGTCTCCAGGCTCGTTTCCAGGCTTGATCTGTAAAATAGTACAGAAGACCTCTTCAACGTACGATTGTGTAGTTGGGTTCAGCTTGTCGAACCCATTGACTGGATCGACGCCACGTCTGTTGTCGGAGCGATAAAGCATTTCTTCTTGGATGTGAGAAACTGAATTAGGTCAGTGATCGTACGGGTGAGAGGAAATCGGCACAGATTTGACATATAAATAGTCAATGAGTATCATGTGTCTCGTGACATTACCTTCGGAGCCGAGGCTACGTGGCAAGACAAATGCTGTCTGATTGCGGCCTACAAAGTTGCTGCCGTCGCAAAAGCCATCAAACAAAATGGAAACGAACAGGCAGGTCTGATGATGGCAGACTTTTAATTCAAAAATAACCAAAAATTTTGCAGCCGACACAGCCTCATTCATCAACAACATCAAGACGCCAGGTGAACACTAGAGTGTCGCGGGGCGATACTCAGGGCGACAGACAAACGCGCCAATTTGTGGCCGCTGCGCCGAAGCATGTAGTAGACATGCCAAGTGCATCGCAAAACAACTTCGGCCGACGCGTCACTCCTGACTGCGCACCGCGAATGGCACGCTGCACATGGTCGACCAAGACCGATCGAGCCTGCCAGTGTAAGCTTCCAAACCAAAAGCTCGCAAGTGCCGATTGGCCTTCGCGTGTTGACCTAGCGACAAACTCGACAAGCATTTTTTTGGTCATGGTATACTCATGGTACTTGTGAGGATCTCACGTCAAGGAGGTGCTTAAGAATGATTCTTAAATGATGAAGGAAATGACGAGTGACTAGGTCTATACTAGATTCTAGATACAAGACGTAGCGCAAGGAAGCAAGAAAAAGAGAAAGCGTGGCTTCCAGATGCGCGAAAGGAACAAGGGTATCACGTGGTCACGTGATACCGCGGCAGCTTCAACATGGGATCGTGACAGTACTCGTCAACAACCCTGGGAGAAGCCAACCGGTCAGGTCTAACGAACCGGAAGTCGGCTCGGCATTAGCGCATCAGTATCTACTCAAGTGGGGGAGGAGGAAATGCTTGGTTTCGCACAGTGCTTCACAAAAATGTACATAATGCTTTTTAGGTATAAACCAATGCATATTGCATTGCTGCCTATGGTCGCTCGGGAACACAGCTGTGATTCTCTATAAATATATGGTGCATACTATTCTGAAGATTTCATCTTCTTTCCATTATGAACGAATTCTTCTTTACGGGCATTAGACCGCGGCCCTTATCCTGCATGTCGGCGTTTGCTGGCTAGACAGTATGTAATGCCGGGTAGACCCATTTCTGACCTTGGTATTCGGATCTTTTCTTCGCTAGGTGACTGTACCGGTGCGTACCGGTACTACATTACCTTCGGAAAGATGTTGCTACTATGCTTCTGCCAACATCTTGACCAGTGGGCGTGTTGTTGCTAGAGCCGCATCCTCCTATTGTCCATCGGTTTTCCGGTATGTTGGTGGTGTCAAGCTTTCTTAGCGATCATCCTGACAACATCTGTCAACTTCTGATTTTACGATCATGTTCTCAGCCATATCGAGGGGTGCCTTCGTAGTTGGCGTCACTGGCGCCTTTCGCTCATCCGCTTGATGACATCGTCCACTTTCGTTTCTTTTTCGATGTAGCAGAGGAATGTCGTTAGTGTTGTGCCTTGTTCGTCAAGTTCTGTCCGTCAATTCTGCTCGTCAATTCTGCCCGTCAAGTTTTGTCCGTCCACCTTCTCTCGACCTATTGTCTCTTTTGAGGACAGCAGTTTTCGGGCAGCCTCAACCTTGGATAGCAGCAGAGCTTCGTTAGATTTACCTCGTCAAGTTCTAACCGTCCGTCTTCCCCTCGACCCATTGTCTTTTTTTAGCGCAACGATTTTCCACCAGCCTCAACCGTCGTTAGCGGCTTTCGTCTAGTTGGTGCTTTTGGGCGCAATCGGTTTGCTGATGCGTTCTTTCTAGCTACTCCCTCTCTTCTGGATCCCTTCCGTTTCTGGAACCCTGCCTGATACTTTCCACTTCTACTCTCATACTCTGCTACTCAGACCATGCATGACTTCTGGTTGATTCCTGCTTCCGGATCTTCTACTTTCGTCGCTCTTCCATTTCTGATTTCTTCGTTATGATGTAGACTTGTTCTTTCACTGCCTAGCAGGTGAGCCTCGTCTCCACGGTCCGGAATCCAGAGAGCGGTCTGTTGCCAGGTAATGAGCAAACTGAACGATGCTACAAGTACACTTCACTTTGTTTATTACGCCCGGTGACTATGCAGTCAATAGGGCTCACTAGCTATGTTACTTGTACAAGTCCAAAAGTAGCGCTTCTGCCTCCTGAAAGCCCATAAACGTTCATCCTCCCATTTCTGCTCTTATCCGCGTTTTTCCCTGGTAGCACAAATTCTCGTGCGGTGCTTGTTTAACTGGCTGGCTTGAAGGCGGCTATTCCCCAAGTGTTCAGGCGTCCTATCTACAGCGGCTGAAGCGGCGCCTGTTATCAGCGACACGAGTGTTGTATGTGTTGTACCCACGGAAAGTAGCCAGAGTAGTGTTGATCCTAGTCGTTGTTCAACCGGCCTGTGGCCATCACAAATCGCACCGTCGCCTGGACTGCTTTCATGTTTGGTTTCCATTTTGCTCCGTCGGATAGAGACTTTCCGCCGAGGTAGAAGGAAATGTTGCCTCTTTGCGTCTCGGTACATTCTGTCATTTCCTTCCGATGGGTTTCCCAGCTCGGGGCTACAAGTACAGTTCAGTTCAGTTCAGTTTGTTTATTACGCCCGGTGGTCATGCAACCAATAGGGCTCACTAGCTTAGTTACTTATACACGTCCAAAATTAGCGCCTCTGCCTCCTGCAAGCCCATAAACGTTCGTTATCCCATTTCTGCTCTTTCCCATGTATCTCCTTGGGTAGCACAAATTCTCGTGCGGTGCTTGTATTGACCAGCTGGCTTGGAGGCTATTCTCCAAGTGTTCAGCGTCCTATCTACAGCGGCCGAAGCGTCGCTAGTCATCAGCGACACGAGTGTTGTGTGTTGTGTTGTAAGCGGAGCAACGGTGTGATGGTCTTCCTAGTCGTTGTTCAATCGTCCTGTGGCCAAAGCAAATCGTACCGTCGCCTGGACTGCCTTCATATTCGGTTTCCACTTCGGTCCATCCGAGGAAGTTTTACCTCCGAGAAAGAATGAAATGTTGCCTCTCTGAGTTTCGGTGCATTCAGTCATCTCCTTCCGATGTATTTCCCACTGTGGGCAGCGGAACAGAAAGTGTCGAATGGTTTCGCGCTCAAGCCCGCATCCACATTGACTTGACGGTACAGCTCGTATCTGGTGGAGGTACACATTCAGCCTAATCATGTTGGTCCTGAGCTGAGCCAGCACCGTTCGCTCATTCCATGGAAGTGTCTCGTACAGCTTTCGCGTGTGGTCGCCGGGGAGGGCAGTATCAATACTCTTTGAGTGTTTGCCTACTGCCTCCGGAAGGCATCTCTTTGCTTGAAGTTTCCTTTTCTCAATGTTGAACGTCGTGGAAAGCATCCTTGGAAATTGTCTTTCAGGTATAGCACCATCTCGTGTGGCTTGCTTCGCCTTCTTCTTCGCTGTACTAAGGAGGCCAACTTCGCTTCCCGATGGCAACCAGATGATTGACGTGGAGACATCTCTGCGCCGAAGTTCCTCTGTCGAGTCGTATATGCAACGAATAAATTCTTGTCCTGACTGTTGTTGTGGTTTCGCGATCGATTGCACTGCGGCCTTGTTTGTCGTAAGGACTGCCAGGCGCTTGTGTCCATTCGGGATGTGCCTCAGCACGTATGCTATTGCGGCCAGTGTCGCAGAGTACGGACTCTGCTCTGATCTCACTCCAAGGGTGAACGAGAATGACTCACGCCCACCTTCTCCTTCTGTAACACCTGTACACTGAAGAACCCCACCTACACCAACAACCCCATTGCGGGCGGAGCATCCAACAGCCACCTGAAAGTCCCAGTTACGATCCAGGTTTTCTTGGGTCGTGTTCTCCGGTGTAATCATTATTCTTTTTCTCCATGGCTCTACCGCAAATGGCAAGATGGATTCCAATTCTTCCGCTGGAACATCTCTCAGACTCTGCGTGACTTGATACCAGGGTGACCGGAAGGACTGGTAGAGCTTTTTCATTCGCGACGTAACTCTGCGAAGTGGATTGGTCTCTGGTAGTGTGTGGATGTCGAGCCACATTTTGGTTACCCGTTTCCAGAATCGTTCCCTTGCAGGAACCAGATTGGCTTCAGCTTCTCCAACGGCTGTTGCGACCCTAAGGAAAGTCCCAACGATAGCCTGAGCACCCGCCTTTTGCACTCGATTGATCGGGCCCATAAGTTTGTCCTGATAGGCGTGCGCTACAAGTACAGAGAAGGGCGAAACAAGTGTCACACTTTTAGTTAACAAGAATAATAGTGGCAGCCATTTTAGCCTGTGACGTAGCGCCGCCTGATATCCACCAGGTACCCGAAACTTTTTCGTGGGGTAAATGTGCGATTAAACTCAGCCGTTAGTTTGCCATATGTGCACCAGTTGTTGCTCTATTACGACAAAATTACCTTTCGGCGATGGAGTAGAAATCCCCTTCCTATCCTGAGCTTTTTTCTGCCTAGAAATACGGCATTCAATCAGTTTCTGCCCATGTAGTCTCATTCTTGCCTGAGGGAAAAAAATGGTACAGGGTACCAGATAACTCTAGCGGCCAGATCGAGATCCACCATTTCGTTAAAAGTTAACTAGCAAAAGAGTGACACTTGAAACGCCTTTCTCTGTAACGTAGCTTCATATCGGAGTAGGTATTATACATATGCGCGTTGTGTCATATATACTGTAGTCAAAAGCGCATTAGAAGTTGACTAAGTCTATGTTAGATTTCTAAGGTCGGATAGTTCCGCACTTGTGGCATCATCTGGCAGCAATGCCACGTCCGGGAGAATCCGCTTCGCAGGCTAGAAATGGCGAGTCGCAGCAGCTAGCCCTCCAGGTCGCTGGAGCTAGGCTAAGTCTAGTTTCATGCTTCTTAGCCGGCGAGAGATGGCAAGATCTTTTCCTAAGCAGGGTTCTAGCTATTTCTTGATGATGACGTAGCTGAATAAAAGTAGCATGA